TATTATTTAGACCTAAAAATTTAAACTAATTTACTGACATAATGATATAATTTTATAGGAATCATTGTATCAACACCAAGTTTCAATATTTAATAGGATTTATAATGAATTCAAATGTCATAGTGAATTAGGTCAACAAATTACGTCATAAATTAGATCTCAATAGTATTACTCTATTAAAATATTAAAAAAATAGTGGAAGAGATTTTAGGTGATAAAAAAATTAGGATCAGTTGGCATCATTGAAGGACGCAAAAATAAAAAATTTTAAAGGTCAATATTATTTGTTGGATTAATAATTTTGAAACAATGTAGAAAGTTCAAACAATTTTATAAGTTGGGAATTCAAATTCTATTGGCCCTCATTATATAGATGTGTAATAAAATCTAAACTTTTTTAACACCCCCAAAAAATTTTTTGAATTTATGGATTATATGGGTCAACTCGAAAGTGACACAATACTTGACATAATTAATTCATGGGTATTCAATTTAGTATTTAAATATTTGACACGATTAATTAAACTGATCGAATTATGGTTGTCTAATACTTGACATGAACATAATATAACATTACCCGAACATGACCCAATATAATTCGAGTCACACCACTTTGGATTTGGTGATGGTTCATGAAAGGGAAAACTTGGTGAATTTAAAATCCAACGCAGACCAACCCAAAAAAAAAAAATCAATATTGAGCACACTTTGGATAAAAAATTATCAACCCAATTTAAAATCAAATAATACTCAATTTATATCTCTACTTTTTAGGATCCAATCCAATTGAAATCAAATTTACGCCCTAGTTGCTTAACTTAAGATTCAAACTTCAATTAAATTGGATTTCAACTTAAATTTCTATCCATGTTATGTACCTCAAAAATCAAACCTCAATTGAAGTTGATTGATTCAAATTTCACCACTACTTGCATATCATCTAATTTCAAAAATTAACCATGACTGACATTGAAAATTTCAAATAAAGCTTAGCTTGAGAGTTTTAAAAATTTTGATTTTACTCGAGTTTTTTTCGACTTGCCTTACAACCACTATACTAGCTAGGTTGTGGCATGAGTATTGATATTTAAATTAAATAAATTTTTGGTTTTACTATTTTTATGAATTGAGGATGTTTCAGAATTTTGTTAACAAACTTAATTAAGATGTAGTTTAGTCTAGAAATAACAAGAGCATTTTGTTTTTTATTTTTGTAGGTTAGGAGGTGATTGGGTATAATTTGAAATTTGTCAAACAATATAAAATAAGCCACTTGACAACACCGATGTAGTGACATAAATTTTTATATTTTTAGTGACATAATTAATTTAGTTACTCAAAATATAAAAGTTTTAGTGACGATTTGACAATCATCACTAAAAGTATAAAATTTTTAATAACAACGCCAATGTTGTCACTAAAACTATGAAAGTTCTAGTGATGACATGAAAGTCACCACTAAAACCATTAGTGTTTTAGTGACGACATTAAAGTTATCACCAAACCTTGAAACTTTTAGAGGGAACTAATCTCATTACTAAAAGTAATTGATTATCATTTTGAGTAACAACAATAAAATTCATTACTATTTATCCAATTTTTCACACTTCTAGTGACGAAGTTACAACGACAAACAATAATTCATCACTAAACGTTAACTATTTGTGACAAATACTGTTGTCGTCACTCATCCTAGATCATTAATAACAACTTCACATGTCATCACTAAAAAGGTATCATTAATGACAAAAATAACTTGATCACTAAAAAATTTGTCACTAAAGCACATCATTGTTGTAGTGCCTTCACATCACTAGAAACACTCTAATGTCCCTCATCTTAAAATATGGAATCTGGCAGACTTAGGACCATCGTGGTACATTGCTTAATGTACCACGTGGTCCTTAGAGTACAAACTTTTCTTCATATTGCTTTAGTTGCTTTTCACATTTATGTGTTACAATATATTTTTTTGCCGAGAAAACTAAGATATTGAAAAAACATATTTTGGTATCATACCGCCAAAGTTTACAAGTTTTGTGGGTTTAAAATAAAAGTTTTTGAGTTTGTTTACAACAAACAATATTTACAAATTTTGGGATCATTTTATAACTTTTATAGTTCAAGTTACAACTTTTGGGAGTCATTTACTACCTTTGAGGATTATTTGTCATCCATCCTAAGTACTCTCAAAGTTGTAAATGATCCTCTAAAATTATAAATGACCTTCAAAAATTGTAAATGTTCCCCAAAAATTAAAAATGACTCTAAAAAATTGTAAATAACCTTCAAACTTAATAGCCTATGATGAGGTTGGCTGCTACCAACTCTAGGAGCAACTGTGAACTGTGACGGATGGGTTGGTGGGTCATTCATGTCTAATGTCAATATGCTCCAACAGTTGAGTAAGATGAGTGGATGTTATGAAAGTGATAAAGATAAGAATTAATGACACCATTCATCCAAATGGATAAATATCAAAGATATGATTCGGGTAATATGATAGGAAGATTATATTGAATATAATAAGGAGAGAAGATCTGACTTATCTTTGTATCAGGTGGCTGCTTATAAATAAATGCAAGCTGTTTGTAGAGATGAATCCAATAAAACTACCTTCACCGAATTCTTTATTTGAAATGACTTGAATTGCCTATTAATTATCAAAATTAATTACTGGGCAAAATATTTCTGGGATAGGTGAAGATAGTAAATACTATCTTAGGTAGGTGGAGATAATATTTCTGGGATAGGTAAAGATAGTAAATGCTATGTTAGGTAGGTGGAGATAATAAATGATCTCTTGGATAGGTAGAGATAGTGAATGCTCTCATGCCAGCCAAGATATCTATCTCAGACTAGTTTCTTGTGTGTATTGTGGGGATAAGTGATGAATGTAGTTATAGCAGAGGTACTCAGCTAGGTAGGGTACCCTAAAAGCTGCCCGCACCTACCTTTCTACAGGGGTCAATGTCATACATGACAGTTGTGCCTACCTGTAATTGCCTTGACTTCAGCCAAATTGTTCGATGCTCACAGTGTGCCCAGTGTCTCAAGCATTAGTTAGGTAGATATGACGTTTCCTTGAATACAATTTGGATTCGGCCATTGAGGAAAGGGTACATCCTTCGTGGAAAAGGCGATTTCCGAGGTGGAGGGTTATGACTAACCACCGAGGGAGAGTCATATTTGATGATGCACAAAATTGATTTACACACCACTGTCAATTAAGTAATATAAAATACAATAAAGTAGAGAGAGAAGACCAAGTTTATAGTGGTTCGGTCAAGGTGACCTACGTCCACTTGAAATGGCAAGGGTCGCCGGAATTTTATTAACTTCGGTGCAGTGGGAGAGCAGAAGATTACAAACTTTCAAAGAGGATGAGAGAATTATGCTCAAAATGAGTGAGATGCCCCCAAGTGTTGGTGAGCCTTACATTTTATAGTTGTCTTATAATGGATACTAATTAAATAACTAATCAAGCAGTTATAACGGGTTGTGGCTGTTTAATAGTCATAACAGATTGGGGTGACTTTAACAGTGATTAAATAACTTGGCGACCTCTGATTTCCTCAACGGGCAAGGAAGTTTATGATGCTCTCCAAAAGACTTGGTCAAAGGATGAGAGAAGATTGACTCTCTCCAAGCGGCGAGAGTGAGGCTCCTAGACGTTCTCTTGGTGGTATAGAGGAGGCTCTTGGATGACCCCTGCTCCAAGGTGGTAGAGGAGACTCCTGGATGACCTTGCATGCTCCTTATTGATGTAGCCTTTGAGCTTGATGAGTTTGACCATGTTGATCACATTGGGTTAGACTTAGTGGACCCCTTAGAGTTGGGCCTTAAAACTTGGACTGAGCTTATCACATAAGTTAGACTCTTGGGCTTGGCCCATCAATGTTCTTACTCTCTTTAGAATCCCTTCTAAGGCCTCTGCCAAGGTGTCCAATCAAAGATAATCACATAGTTTCGATGTTTTAGCCATTAATTCAGATGTCCACAACCATTCCATATGTTAATCTGGACTATTAACCCTTTATCCTTTAAGATCCCATCAAATCTCAGTCATGCATAACCTAGTGAGTAATGAACTATATACAGAGAGACCTATTTGAATAGACTAAATTTTGAGACCCTACGCTAAGTCGATGTCGACAATTATGTCTGTCCACCCTCGTTTCTAAGATCTCACTCGAGGGGGCCATATTACCATGTCCCAAATGGAGACCCTTCCTCTTAATTAGTCATTTAGGCCAGTTACAAAATAATTCACTATTAGTTGACTTTACCATCGTTGGCACACAATGCGTTATAGGTTCTCTCAAATGGGCCTTGTTATGAGGGGCACCATTGAGAATTTCCAAGGATGCCACTCTTGCCATTCGCAGTATCCCAGGGGAGACGTCTCACGCCAAGGTTGTCCTCAAGTTTTTGCAATGCAATTCTTGCCTCTTCTTGGTCAAGTATCCCTAATTTTATAAGTTACTACACTTTTAAATAACACTAGCAATACACGACCACGTGAATAATTTAAATAATATTTTTTTTTTGTTGAATCTATGAAAATATATTTTTATGTGTAATTAAGTTAAATGATAAACCTAGTAGATCAAGTTTATGTTCATAGACGGAAGCACACTCTCTCAATGGGCGATCTTCATTCTCGGCCACCATGAAACCCACCAAATCGATCTTCTCCACTGAACCCATTCTTTCGTTTGTAAATCTGTTACTAACCCACTTCCGTTTTCATTTCCCCACCCTCTTATCGTTCACCCCTTATCTCTTTCTCACAGATCCGAAACCCACCAAATCGATCTTCTCCACTAAATCCATTCTTCCATTTGCAAATCTGTTACTAACCCACTTCCATTTTCATTTCCCCACTCTCTTACCGGTTACCCCTTGTCTCTTTCCCACAAGTCCAAAACCCCTCTTTGTTCCTTCCCCTACCTCGCTTTACACCCACATCTGATCCATGGACCCTACAACCTTTAAAGCCAAGCCAGGTTGTAGATTTGGCAGCAACATTAATACTGAGCTACCTAAAGCTCGTGTAAATGCTAAAGTGAACCTAGAAGGGACAAAGGAGCTGAACTCTAATGCTCTACCTGGAAGCCACTCAAGAGATAAGGGAAAAACAGAGCAGACAGAGGAACAAATAGAGGAGGAGGCGAATGCAGAAAACCTTTTTGCTGGCATATTGATACATAGCGGTGAAGCTTCAAAAAAGCTTATTGATGTGGATGTGTTTTCGAAAGACAAACAATACCCGACAAAAGCTTAACCTAACCTGCTAGAGGTCCAGAAAAAACAACCCAGACCCAGGGCTCCTTGGAACCAAGTCCTTAAAGAAAGACGTGCAGCAAGCAACCCAGCTAACCAGAATGAAAGTCAAACCCAAGTAATGAAACTCCAATTTTTTGAGCCAAAAATGGAAAAAAATAGAATTGTGGTCCACCCCCCTGAAGAAATTGGTAGGCAAGGAAGTCTTGAATGGCAGAACTGTCTTGTGGGATACTTCATTGAAAAAAAGTTCCCTGTGCTACTTGGCACACAGGATGTCGGATAATCCAGGACTTCTAGAGGTATTGGCTAAGGACAATGGATTTTACTATTTTAAATTCATGAATGATGAATCTAGAACAAAAATCTTTGAGTCTGGTCCTTGGCTGCTATCTGGTTGGCCATTAATACTCCAGAAATGGCAACCAAACCTATTGTTGTCCAGGGAGAACCACTCAATAATCCCATTGTGGATTAAATTCCACAATATCCCTCTCCAATTCTAGAACGAGAAAGGTCTGAGGTACATAGCAAGTGTTGTTGGGAAGCCTTTATATGCTGATACTCTCACTTCCAAGAAACAGAGAATAAACTTTGCAAGAATCTATGTTGAAGTAAATGCTAGAAGTCCATTAATTGAAGCCTTTGATCTGAATGTGGATATCAATGGTATGGTTGAAACTGTGGAAATAAAGGTAGAATACCAATGGAAGCCCAAGGTGTGTAATATATGCAAAGTTTTTGGCCACAATGAGTCCTTATGACCCAAAATGATATCAAAGGCTAGGATTAATGTGGAGGATCATGTTAATGTTCAATTTCGGAGCACTAACCAACCGGACTTGTGCCTTGAGAAGGGCAAAGCAGTGGCATCTATAGTGCTTGACATTGAAACTGTGGAGACTAATAAAAAGAGAGTTGCAGATAATCAATTGGTACTTGTTACTGAGATTGAAAGGAATCCTCAGGTAGACTCTCAAGTCACAGAAATCATAGTCAATCAAATTGCCTCCCCCCAACAGGATGTTGGGAGGATTACATCTAAGAACAAATTTACGGACCTGAATCTAGAGGGAGGGAAAATTGTCGTGGACTTAAGCTCTGAAGCTCAAGCTAGTACCTCAATCTACAATGAGGGGACTAAGAAGAAGGAAAAAACAAATGGAAGCAAACATCCATTGGGAAGTAAAAAGAAGAAAGCGAAAAAGAAAGACCATGAGATGGGGAAATCCAAGGTGACTGAGCACCTAATTCTCAGGAAAGTACTCCCCCCCTCAATGAAGCTTGCATGCTGGAACATCTGAGGACTTAACAAGCCCTCAAAGCAAGAAGAAGCCAGGAAGTTGATTGTGGATCAACAACTTGACCTTTTGGGAATTGTTGAAACAAAAGTTAGGAGTGTGAATAAAGATAGGTTGATGCATAATGTGTTTGGATATTGGGATTACTTGGCAAATTATGATAGCCATCATTTTGGAAGAATCTGGATTGGGTGGAACCCAAATACATTGGAAATCAATAAAGTTGAGGAAACTGACCAAGTGATACATTGCTTGGTCAAACATTTTGAAAGTAACACAAAAGTTTTTGCTTCTTTTGTCTATGGGTCAAAAGATGACATTGAGAGGAGAACTCTGTGGAGGGGGTTTAGACACCATTCAAACTTTGTTGCTGCTAAACCATGGGTTGCTTTAGGAGATTTCAACGTTATTAGAACACCAAGTGAAACTACAGGGGGCCAAAGTAGTTGGAGTCAATCAATGGAGGAATTTGATGTTTGTTTGCAAGATTCAGAACTTATGGATCTTAGGTATACTAAGATCCAATTTACTTGGTGTGACAAAAGAGAAGGTAAAGCTGTTGTGGCCAGAAAGCTGGATAGAGTTCTGGTTAATGAAGCATGGGCTACTAGATTCCAAATGTCTACGACAGAATTTCTTCCTGCCGTTGTCTCTGACCATAGCCCTGCAATTGTTCAAATTGGTCCAAAGCCCCTCAAAAGAAAATGCCCCTTTAAATTTTTCAACCATTTAGCAGCAAGAGAGGAATTTTTGGACCTTGTCCAACAGATTTGGTTTCAAAATGTCCAAGGAAGTCACCAATTTCAAGTTGTCAGGAAGCTCAAAAGACTCAAAGATTTCTTCAAAGGGATTATCAAGGAAGTAGGGGATGTCTTAATGAAAGAAAGAGAGGCAAGATAAGCTTTAATGAGATGCCATAGAAAGCTAGACACTAACCCAGTTGAAACCGCTTGGAGACAAGAAGAAATACAGTTCATGAAGGACTATACTCAAGCTGCCAAAGATGAAGAAATTTTTTGCAAGAAGAAATCTAGAGTCCAATGGCTCAAAGAAGGTGATAGGAATACATCTTATTTTTTCAAGACAATGAATAGCAAAAGAAATAGGAAAATTTGTTTACTATTGATAGGGCGGATGGATCAAGGCTGAGGGTGAACAAGCTGTGAAGGAAGAAGCTGTTAATTATTATGTCAACTTGTTAGGCCAAGCTAGACATGTTGTCCCTGTTCATGAGAGAAGAGCAGGTATGCAGTCAGTGGTCCAAAGCAAAGTTCCTCCACACATTGCTGCCAAAATGGTTAGAGAGGTGTCTAACGAAGAAATTAAGGAGGTAATCTTCTTTTTAAATTATCATAAAGCTCCTGCCCAGATGAGTTTAATGCCTTATTTTTTAAGAAAGCTTGGCCTATCATTGGGCATGACATTACTGAAGCTATTAAAGAGTTCTTGACTACTGACCAACTTCTTAGGGAGCTAAATAACACAATCATCACCTTGGTCCCCAAAATTCCAAACCCCTCATCTGTGGGAGATTTCAAGCCAATCTCATGTTGTAACACTCTTTATAAGGCAATCTCAAAGCTCATAGCAAATAGAATCAAACAATGTCTCCCAAACCTTATCAACCCTAACCAAGCTACCTTCATCCAAGGTAGAAGAATTGGGGACAATATCCTATTAACCCAGGAGCTTATGAGAGACTACCATAGAGATTCAGCCCCCCCCCCCCAGATGTGCACTAAAAGTTGACATTAGGAAAGCCTTTGACACTGTCTATAGGGATTTTTTGCTTGATGCCTTAGAAGCTTTTAATTTCCTAATGACAATGAGGAAATGGATACATGCTTGTATTACTAGAGTTATGTTCTCTATTAATGTGAATGGAGAGTTAGCTGGTCACTTCCCTAATGCTAGAGGACTCAGGCAGGGAGATCCATTATCTTCCTATCTTTTTATAATTGCAATAGAGTTTCTGTCCTTGATAACACAGTGCAACATAACATCCAATCCCCAGTTCAAGTACCACTGGAGATGCTCAAAACTCAAAATCATTCAACTCTCCTTTGCTAATGACTTGATGTTATTTTGTCATGGGGATGTGAATTCAGTACAAACCGTGAAGAGATCTCTGGACCAATTTGGCCAACTCTCAGGCTTACTTCCCAATGTTGAAAAGAGCAATATGTATTTAAGTGTTGTTCCTGAGGGGAGAGATCACAAATCATTGAGATGCTTGGGTTCCCTATTGGTGATTTACCTATCAAATACCTTGGAGTTCCACTGGTTTCCACCAAGCTTAAGGCTTAACACTGCATGGGCCTCATTGAAAAGGTTGAATCCAAGGTTAAGTCTTGGATTAACAAGTCTCTATTCTACGCTGGAAGGCTTCAGCTGGTTATCTCTGTGCTTAGTAGAATGCATGTCTTTTGGGCTACACACCTGAGCTTACCACGGAAAGTGTTGGACAAGTTGGAGCAAACTTTGAGAGCTTTCATTTGGAAGGGCCCTGAGCTTATACACACTGGACTGAAAGTTGCATGGAATGATGTTTGCAAGCCAAAGAGAGAGGGTGGTCTGGGTATTAAGAGGTTGAAGGAATGGAACATTGCCTTGCTTCTGAGACACCTGTGGCAATTGTTCAATGACAAGGAAAACCTATGGACCCAATGGATACATGCTTACTATATAAGGGATAGAAGCCTATAGGAGCTTAAAACCCCTCAAACTTGGAGAAACCTTTTAAAGCTCAGGGATTTCCTAAGACCAATAATGGTGCACATTATAGGGAATGGGCAGCACAAAAGCTTTTGGAATGACAACTGGCATCCATATGGTCCCCTGTTACCAAACAACAGCCCAAATGTATTGCAAGAAGCAAGAATTCCATGGGAAGCTAAAGTCATTAAAGTTATTACCAACAACCAATGGAGCAGAGCTACTTCTACTCATCTATGTGTGCAGAATATTTTTAACAACATGCCAACCTACCTTCCTGATCAATCCAGAAATGATTTTGTGAGATGGACCCTTTCCACCGGTGGGATTTACTCTGCTAAATCTACATGGGATCACTTGAGGATTTCTACTGTGTAGAACAGCTAATGAAACTCACAACCACCTCTTCTTTGAATGTGATTACTCCTCTAGAGTTTGGAACCTCATTCTTCTCCAAAGCAATCAACAAGGACAGCAAAGGCAATGGCCTAATTTAATTGAATGGGCTGCTCAACAGTAGAAAGGCAAGAAGATGACCATTATTATCTTGAAGATCAATCTTTCTGCTATTGTTTATCATTTATGGAAGGAAAGAACTGCCAGAATCTTCAGAAACCAGGCTGCAGACTTTCATACACTCTGCACAATGATTAAGCAGACTATTAGGGAAATGATGCTTACCTTGAAATTCAAGCGCAACCACCAAAATGTCTTGACCTTGCTTCAATGGAATCTGCCTGATACATGTCTCCATTAACTCTATTATGATGTTTGTTGCTGGGATGTGGTTTGCAGGGAAGCCTTTGTTGGTTGTGTTGTCCTTTCATCCTCACTTCTTTACACTATTTTCTAGCTTCTTGCTCATTGGGGTTGTCTGCTTGATGTCTGTTGTTGTTGGTGCTGATTTTTTGGTGTGTTGTGCTGGTGCTGTTATTTTTGGTGTGTTGGCTTGCTATGGTGTGTTGTACAGGTGCTGATTCTGCTTCTACACATGGCTTGCTGGTGCTGTTTTTATTGGTGCAAATGACTTTCTGGTGCTGTTTTTTTGGGCTTGTTGGTGCTGATTTTTGGTGCATATGGCTTGCGTGGTCTGCTATGGTGTGTTGTGCTGATGCTGAATTTGCTATAGCTATTGGCTTGCTTGGTCTCTTGCATATCAATGGGTTCATGCGTTGTTTTTGTATACGAATGTTCTCTTGTCAACAATTCTGTGAGAGATACTCTTATTCAGGGCATCTCTTACAAAATTATGTTTTGAGCCTTGGCTTTTTGGATTTTTTTTTATGTTTGTCTTTGAGTCCTACGTGACTTCATTGTACATTTTGGGGGTAATTTCCTTTTGTATATATGTTTTATTTTAATACACTTTGCCTTCCGAAAAAAAAAGTTAAATGATAAATTTGGTGTTAAAAAATTAATCTATATTTTATTTCTTGTTAAAACTAATTACTGAAAAAAAAATTAAATATAACATATAGTTGATCTTAGAGTCCAACTTAATAACTATATGTATACAATAATATAATATAGATTCATCTTTGCTTCTTCATAAAGATATAACCATAGACATAAAAAAATTTATGTAAGTATACTATTTATAAAAGAATTCAAAAGAATTTAGAAGTCAAATACTACTTATAAAAGAGTTTAAAGGAACTTGAAAGTCAGATTATATATAAAAATAAAAAAATATGTGAAGGTACAAGGATGTAATTGATTTTATAAAAAGTAGGCTAATAATACACAACGTTGTTGCATGTTTAAATAAATTTTTTGGTTATTCTTATAAAACAAATAGAGATTATATGTGTAATTGAATTGAATAAATAAATTATGTGTTGGATAATTAATGTGCACCATTATGGAATTAGCCATTATCAAATCTAATGTGGTATTTGTGATTTTCATTCCACACCATAATTAACGCCCGTTAAAAAAAGACAACGTCAAAAAAAGTCCGATCGTTTCTCTTCCAAATTCATCTTCAAGTTTGTCTCTCGAGATTCTCCTCTTCTCTCATCAACGCCCATGGTGTTCCACTGCTGCTTTCTTCTATTCACTTTCTTCATCTCTCTCGTCTCCACATGAAGCAAGGATTTATATTGCTGATCAGGATAGCCCACATCTGACCTAGTTTCAGGTAATTTCTGCCAAATTTAGTGAATAATAATTTTTAAATCCAACCTCGAATTTCAAATCTTACTTTTGAAAAAAATCGGTCAATCTCAGATCTTAGTTTTAAAAAACTAATTCAGATATAAAATTCCCCCAATAATTCAGATTTGAAA